AGTGCAAAATACCATTCTGGACATGAAGCAGGAAGTTTAATCTAACATATAAAGGAGAGTTAGCACAAACACTTGAAATTCTTGGAAACCTAGAATTTAAAGGGAACATCCCAAGCCCCACTTCTAGCCATTCAAAATCCAACAAAAGGTACTAACTAGGATTTACAAGGAGAAGGCTAAACAAAAGTTGGATTGAAACGAAATTTCATTGAAATACCATCATCCATCCTTGCTAACCAAAAACATACCATTTCGGCAACAGCTATTAGTATGTGCAAAGTAAAACCTCGCAAAAGAAGTCTGCTTTACATTGCTCTGTTAGTCTGAATCAGCCTCTAAATTATCCTCTGAATCCTCTATTATCACTTCCTCAGCTCTGCCATCAAATGCACTATCATTCCCAGGAGAAACAAGACTTTCCCAGCAAACATGGAAATTGTAGGTTGGAACATCAGGGATCCCAAGAATCTCCACCCATGTTCTTTTTTGGTTTTCAAAGTTATACCAATAAATCACATTTCCTCTATTAACCAGAATGCTATCCTCCTTTTTTGAGTATGCCAAAGGCAAAGCCCGATTAAACAGAATATTCCTCTCTTCCTCCAAAATGAATTCTTTCCTCCAACTACCACCTGCAACTTCTCCACCACTATCACTCACAAGCAAGTAATATTCTATACTATTAGGCTCATTGCGTATTACAGGACTATAGAGGTTACCTCCAAAAACTACCATGAAATCATGGTAGATGACCGTTGGGCCAAAATCAGACAATAGTGCGAGGTCAAAGAACACCTCATATGTGATATCAAAACCAACACACTTATCTTCATTTTCCCAGTACAGAGCACCATTGGCATATAGCCCGACCCTGGACCTGGAGGTCAGTTCATCCTTCACATCTTGAATCCTCCTCCAAGAATTAGAATTCAGACTAAAAACCCAGACTTGAGAACAAACATCATCACCATTTGACTTCCGAACCTTTGAAATCATCACAATCTTATAGTCATTGCCACACATATCCTAAACCAAAGCACATGAATCTTTTGTACCCAGGATTAGTTTGGACCGGACAAGGTGGTAATTTCTTGTACCTCTTAGTGAATGGATTCCACAGGGCAAAATCCATGTTTTGGTCCTTAACAAAAATACCCAGCAGAAACAAACCATTGCAAGAAGCACACACCGAGGTGCCGCGACGCGAAGATTTCAATGGGTTGTTGAGTAGGTAGGTATCTTCGAGGTTGCCATCAAACTCAGCATAATAGAGATCGGTCTGATCCATGAAATCTACGTTGTTGATGATTAGCTTTTGGCCGGTTTTGCTCTGGATTGACACATTGAGATGATACTTGGCGAAATCTGGGCTGTCAATTTCGGCGCAATGTGACTTAGAAAGGCACCTGAATCGCAGGAGAGACGTCACCGGCAGGCAGAGGAGAATGTCGGTGACTAGTTCCGGCGGCAATGGAGGCATTTTCAGGCTTTTTCTTGATTCTGGTTTTTGACCTTTTCTCTGACTCAA